CTGGGGCCCTTCAATCACCAGGTGAGCAGCATCTGGATGGGGCACCCACCCCCAGCCTGGACAAGAACTCCAGCTCAGATGTGGGCCTTACCACTGGTACTTTTGATCTCCTCAGGCTTGGTGTGAGTCTGGGACCACAGGGGCAAGACAGGGTCCTCAGGGTCCAAACTGTTGATGTTCACAGCCCAAAGAGCACAGGAGACCAGTGGTATGGTGGTGGGGGAGGGCCCTTACAGTAGCACTGGGAGTGGAGGCACTCTGGGAGTGGAGGTTCAGACCTCATTACGGGTGGGACAGAGACTTGATCTTGACCTAGTGAATTGTAGCTGTTACAGAGTTGCATACCAGATAAAGTAGGGCCACATGCTCTGTAGGGTCCTCTGTGGGATCATGCAAAACTGGAGTCTCCATAAACCCCAAAGTCCTGAGCATGTCCCCTGGAGACCTTGCCTCCCGTCCCTTTCACTCCCTGTCCAGGTGCCACACACCTCCCCCCAGTCCACTTCAGCCTGATCCTTATCCTTCAGACTGCAGTATTGTGAACCTTATTGAGGGTCGCTGTCCTGACACTCTTCCGGAAATGCTAGGGCTAAATGGAACCAGGGTCTGCACTTGGCAGCTGCTTGCTCTGGGCCAGATGGCTCATCTGAAACTGGAGGATGGACAGACATACGGAGAGGAGACGGTAAGGAGGTCACAAGCCCAGACAAACCTTGTGCTCCTGGTGAAGAAAGGTAAAGGGAATGGTTTGGGGTTGTCCAGATTGCAGACATGCAAGACTCAGCCTCCTTGAGCCCTGCGCTGTTTCCAGGAGGAGGCCCTGAGTTGAAGAAACTGACTCTGAATCTAAAGCTGGAGAGAGCCTTCAAGTTCAGCCTCTACCAGCTATGGCCCCTGCATCTCCCAACCTGCCTCTGGCTCCGCAGCCCCTTTGAGCCTGGCACACTTTTATTGGGGACAGAGGCAGTGGGGACATAAAATACTTGGGGTTCAACTCTGTGCCCTGCCTGGGAGCACTGGAGGACAGATCCCTCACAAAGCCCTGTCTTGGTTCTACAGCTTCAATGGTTATGAACAGGCCTCTTCTGCTTGCTCCTCTTCCATCCCCAGTCGTGGCCCTAAGGCTCAGCAGGTGAGTCAAGGGCCAATAAGGAAGAATATCTTTGACAGTCACTGGCCTGGGGAGCCAAGGGATATTGATATGATCTATGGGAGCAAAGAGACCTGTTAAACTAGGGCTGCTAAACTGCTGTGCCTGCAGGTGGGCTGATAGTCTGGTGAGCGGGCAGGGGACACTCCCAGCAGCAGCTCACCTGGGGAAGCCCAGCAGGAAAGCCACAGACATCTCAAACTGCTCAGTCCTGGATGGTCCTCTCCCTCCTGTGTGACACCAAGTCCCACGTCAATGGGAGGCAACCTTTGCCCCTGAGAAGCTGAGGAAGGGCTTAGGAATTGGAGCCAGACAGTCTGGGTTTTGAATCTGGGCTGGGCCACTGACAGCCTGCTAGGGTTTTTTCTTCTCTAAGCCTGCGACCTCATTAATAAAACAGAGCTAGTGGGTTCTATGCCATGGAATGGTTATGAGAGTTAAAGAAGGTAATTCCTGCAGAAGCCCAGAGACAACCAGAAGTTGCCTGGACTCACACAGCAAGAGAGTAAGAAAGACTCTGGGCAAGACCAAACTTTTTTGTACCTCTGGCCTCTCTTGGGTCTGAGTTCCTGGACGGTGCCTGGTCTATGTCCCTTGGTTTGTTGCAGGAACATAGCAGAGATATTTGGGGGGGGGGACCCCCCACCCCGCCCCGTGGTTCTTCTGGCCTGAGTCACCTCTCCACAGGGCCTTATCAGTCCATTCTCTCCTTTCCCACAAACTAATCTCTCCCCTTCTTGGAGAGTTCCTGTTTCCTCCCCGCCACCTTGTCTCTCCCCAGGCCCGTCTCCTGAGACTCCAGCCAGCCTCCCACACAGATCAGAGCTGCTCACTGCAGAGGGCTCAGAGCCCTCTAGAATGGCCACCTGTAACTCAGGATGGTCCAGGTGGGGACCTGCTGTGACCAAAGTTTTGATGCCCACAGGCTACCCCTGGTGGCCAAGGGCCCTGGGCCTCTGCATGACCTCCAATGCTCGATTAAAGGTTTTACTTTGGAAGTCCCAGCTACCAAAACTCTGGCTTTGAATCTCTGAACACAGTGAGCTCCTGAGCTGTTAGAGCCCTCCAGAGCTTAAGTCACACTGAAGCCCTGCTCCCTGCTGAGTAGGCCTCAACTGCTTCACTGCTTCAACCTTGGCGCCTAGGGTAAGGAATGCTCCAGGTTCCAGCTCTCTACACTGCCCTTGGTTGCCCAGCCCCGCCCCCCCCAGGAGGGGGTGGGGAGTCACAGGTCTAGCGACTAGTTAATGGCAGGTACACATGTCCACTGAGTCAGAAGCCAGCCGCTCTCCAGTCCTGAACTTTCAGGGCTCCCTTCCAGGTCAGGAAACAGCAACAGGGATATGCCTGGGCTCCAGTCTCACTCTTCTAGGAGCTGGCCATGATCTGGGGCAAGCCACCTGTCCTGTGGGAGTCTGTCTCTTCCTGTCAGATGATGGCAACAATGCTCATCTATGGCAAAGCTGTTGTGAGGATGACTTGGGTAAAGTGTTTGAACTGGAACACAGCAGGTGCCTAGTAAACAGTCCTGTGTATATTGCTATGGCTACCCTTCCCCTCACCGTTATGGCCTGTTTCCCCATTTGCTCGTCCTGATTAAGAGTCAAAGGGTATCCCCAAGTTCAACACTTTTGAAGAATGTTTTATACTCAGCTCCAAAGTCCAATGGGTGTATGGGCTGATTTCAACCACGAGAATCCCAGAACTACAGGGCAAGTGAATCTGGACTCGAGCTGGCTCAGCATGTTAGAAGAAGTCTAAAGACTGTAGGAACCCAGGGGAGGTCTCAGGCTGAAGGTGGTCAGGGAACATTTACTGGAGGAGGGGGCTGGCTACTTAGGCCTTGGAGCTTGCCCGAACTTTGACTGACTGGTGGAGGGGGTAGGTGATGGCTGCTTGAAAGGTTCAAGGGTAGTGAGGAGCCAGAGAGGGAGAGAGAGAGAGAGAGAGAGAGCTATGTGGAGAGATGTACAAAGGGAGATTCTAACAGTGACAATTCTGGGGGATCAGCAAATGCCCAAGATGGGCAACTGTGCTTCATGGCTGGACTGAGAGGTGGTGAGCTTCTAGGGACAGATTGTGGTTTATGGCTGGAAGATAGGCTTGAGTGCTGGGCCAGGTGATTGGGAGCTGATTTTGTGGACCCTGGGGCCAAGGAGCCCTAGCTAGGAGGGTACATACTTCAGGGACAACTGAGGCAGAGTACAGATTCTCATCCCACCCCCACCCCAGTCCCTTGTTAGCGGTGACTACAGGAAGGCCCTTCCCATCTTGGGCTTCCTCATCTGCCAAACAGACCAAGAGGAGACCAGAAGACATCCTGAGGCTCTTTCCAGCCTGTGATTCTGCCACCCTCATCTCAAATTTGCAGGCAGAACTTAGGGGATGGACACAAAAGCCTGTTCTCTCCCTTCTTATGACCTGTCCAGCTCCTGGCAGATTATTCATGACATCTTCCCAGTTCTAAGAGGAGCTCTGTTCCTCTTCATGAAATGCTGCCCAGGCTCCAAAGCCTTGCTTAGCAGGACCCCTCAAGATAGCGCCTGTTTCTAAATGGCTCTGAGGGAGCCAAAACACTCCTTAGCATCCATGTGTGGGAGTCACAAACAGGAACATTCCCTATTACCCTTGGTCTTGGGCAATCCTCTCAGAGTAGGCCAAGATACAGGTATTTAATAATTGCTTCAGTCTTGGATGGCCCTTCCACAAGCCAGGCCTACAGGGATGCTCCACTTTGTCACCCATTTGTGAGAAATAACACTGAGGCTCAGGGATGGATGGTCATATGTTCATAGCCATCCTATTGCCTTTGGGATGTCTTGCCTCCTCCCTAGCTGTGCTTGTTGGCTTCATCACTTTTGCTCCACATCTTCAGCCTGTGGATGGAAGTGTCTAGGCCCAGGTCCTCTTTGGCTTTGCTAGCCTACCCATTCCCTTAGTTGTAACACCAAATGTGACCCTCTAGCCCTGGAACTCCAGGCCCTGATACCTCGCCATTTCTACATGGAGCCAATCCTCAGTCTACCCCATGTCCAAATCTGAGCTCCATCATCTCCCCGGCCCTCATCTCACAGTCAGCCTTCCATCTTTCCTCAGACTCCCACCCAAATCCAAATAGTTCTTTCCAGACCTCTGGCTCCCCACATAAAAAAGAGAATAGGTTCTATTGGCTCCATCTTCAAAACAGAACTAGATTCCACCTGCTTCTTACCATATCTTCTTACCATACCATATTCTTACCTACTACCAGTCTGATCCAGGCGTGAGTTGTGAGCTTAGGTCTGTCCTAACTTCCAGCCTCAGGCACTGCCAGCCTGGTGTCGGAGAGGGAATAAGGAGGCAGGGGCTGTCCCCACTATCCCCAGGGTCATACTGAAAACCCACCAGGGCTGGCTGGGAGGGGGCCAGCCACTACCTCCCTCAGGCATTTCCTCCCTGGGGTGGCTTTTCTCTTGCAGTCCTAGCTTAATGGGTCTGAGGATGGCCACCGGCTGTGCTATGGCTGTGAGAGTGTCCCTGAGGAATAGATACTGCCAGCTGGGTTTATGTTTCAAGACGTCTGTCTTCACCCTTGGCCAACAGATCAGTACAGGGAAACTGGGGCCAGGGCCAGGTCGGGGGACCGGGTGGGGTTGGAACATCAATGAGAGGCCGCCTTGCCAGGAAACTGGAGAGTCCTCCCACCAGCCCAGGATGTACTGGGTTCACTTGAGGAGGCCAGAGACTTGGGGTCAGACTGGGGCTTGCTCAGCATTTATTTCACACAGTTGTTTAAAAAGCTTGTTTAAAATATAGATCATTATATATATATTTATATATATAAAATATATAAAAAGGAATTGAAGTGAGCCACCCCAAAGAAAAAGCTGGATTTTATAAATATTTCTGTAGCTCCCACATCCCAAAAGGGCAAAAAAAGGAAAAAAAAAAATTTACAATCCAAGCTAGTGGTTCCATGTGGTGGGCCCAGGGTCCCGAAGAACTTTCCAGAAGGCTGGTCTTTATGGCCTTGAAAGGTCAAGTATACACAGTCTTACCCATCCCTGTCCTGGCTTCTTGGAGCAGGCTGGAAGGCAGCATGTGGGCACTCAGGGGCCCAGGCTGCCAGGTTATTTTTAATCCTATCGGTTTCCTTTGATGCTCCAGCCTTCCCAGGGCGACCAGGCCTCCTGTTCTGGTGGCTTCCAAGTGAAGACACAGCACAAGCCACCTCCCACGCCTGGCATCTGGGATTTGTAAGGAAGTCCACCAGGGTCTCCAGACCCTTCAGCAGGTCCACAGTGGAAAGGCGCCCCTACTCAGGGGCGGAGCACGTGGCCTCACTTGCAGACATAACGTTCCACTGTGCGCTCACACCTGCGGCAGGTGACATAGCAACACCAGTGGTACTTGCAGTGGCACCGCTCCACCACGCGGTCTGTGTAGGGGTTGTAGCCGCGCCCACAGCACATGAGGTCGCAGCTGTCGCTGCCATTGGAGGTCTTGTTGCACTGCCTGGGGGTGAGAACAAAAGGTCAGGGAATGCCCTGTCACCTCCAACACCTGCCTCTCCCTGCCATGCAGCCCGCAGTCTCGTTGTCTGCCCTCAGCTGGCCTAGCTCTGCCGGAAAGGGAAGGGGGTTCAGTCCTTGGGGAAACTGAGGTTATCCTCTCCCCTAAAGGTGCTCCAAACTTTCCCTTCTGTTTCCAGTAAGCTCTGGTGGAAATGCTGGGGGCTCTTTGGTTTCCTGTGAGTTATCTGGCTTCCTTTTTTTTTTTTTTTTTTCCTACTTTTAAATACTAGGAGACTCCTAAAATCAGCATCTACTAATCGTGACTTCATATTTAATCTTTGTAAAAAACGTGGGTGTGTAGTATATGTATGTGTGCATGTTACCTCTCTGGGTGCATAAGTGTACATGTGTATTTAGAGCCCAGAGGTTGACACTGAGTCTTCCTCTAATTCCTTCACCTTATTTATTTTATTTTAGTTTTGAAACAAGGTCTCTCACTGAACTTAAGGGTCAGTGATCTGCTCAGCTGGACTGGCTAGTTAGCCCCAGGGATCCTGTGGTGTGACCCCTTCCCCCATCCCCCATCAGGGTTACAGACCACCATGTGGGTGGTGGGAGTCTAAACTCAAGTCCTCATGTTTTCAAGGCAGGAACTTCACCGACTGAGCTATCTCCCCAGTCCCCTGACTTCATATTTAATCTTTAATTATGCTATAATGGAGATGAGGGTTACTTTTACATTTAGAATCCCAGAATAAACACTGAAACACTGAAAATGGCCCAGAATTTGAGGGGAAGTGGGCCTGGACACAGGGACTGCTGAGTGCTGGCCTGCGGAGGTGTCTTATCTCTCCTAAGGGATTTTTGTGCCTCTGCTCACCTCCCTCCCCCAGGTTGTGGCAGATGCTGCACTGCTCTTTGGGGTAGAAGCCAGAGGTCGTCTCTGTGAAAGGCAGTATCCTTCTGCTAGAATGTTGCTGCCTAGTAAAGAGGCAGCTAGCTGTTTGGGTAGGTGGTCCTCCAGCAGGACTGGGGATAGAGAGGGATTGTGTTTGTAGGCTGCAGCTTGGGCCAGAGTAGCAGGGTTCTGGGATGCTGACCTACGGACAGAGGCATCCTAGAATGTTCAAAATGGGCAACCTCTAGAGATGAATGATATAGTCTTCATCTTTAGTGATGGGGAAATAAGGCCAAGAATGGCAAAGAGACTTGACCAAGGTCACACAGGCTGAATCCAGGATCTTTGAGATTTTAGGAAAGCTTCCTGGAAGAGGTGGTATCATCCTGGATAGCTCAGGCAGATGAGTAGCTAGACACAGCAGAGGAAAGGAGTTAGGGTAGAGGGTAACAGTCTATAACAGTCACATGGAAAGGCACGGTTGGACAAGGAGGCCAAGCCTGAACCAGGAAGGCCTGGTGGGGCAGGGGGTCCCCCCTGGGGAGGAGCGGGTAGTGACCTGTGGCAGGTGGGAGGGCTTCAGGGGAGACAGGAATAAAAATAACTAAATAAAAACAACTGCTTCAGGAAAGTCACCTAACCTTTCTGGGCTAAATAGAGCCCATTCACCACCCATGAGTCTCCCAGCCCCATCATTTAGGTCTCTGAATGGCCACTCTGCCCTTGATGTTAGGAAAGGATAGAAGTTCTCTCCTGCTCCTTCATCACTGACATAAGTGACTGGAGACTTGGCCTGCCCATGTTAGTGCCAGACAGGGCCAAGATGGTAGATACTTGGGACAGGGAGCTGGGGGAAGGTGGGGACGAATGCCTGGCCGGGGTTGGGGGGAACACAGACAACCATAGGGTGTCTGGGAGCTGGTGGGCCAGGCTCTGGGATGGAGGGTGGCTTTTTGAGGTCCCAGGCCTCCAGAGGAGGCCTCAGTTTCCCCAGGTTGGATGAGAGGAGGGCTGTGTGAATCCCCCACATCTAGGAGTCATATACTCTGTACATGCTCCTAGTCTCCCAGCCCCTCACCCTCCAGTCCCCAGCCGGCCTCATTCCTTCCTTCTGAAGTCTTCCCTGAAGCCCAGGCTATGTCAGACCTAGGGTTAGCTGGTAAAGAGGCTTGGCAGCCTGAGGGACAGGCAGGAGGGAGCCAGCCCAGGCCCAGCTCAGAGGTGATTCTGGGGAAGTGATTCAAGAGGGGAAGCAACTGTGGAGCTCCACCATCCCCTAGGCAGGAAGATGAGGCTGAGACTCAGGTCTTGAAGGACCCAATCAGGAAGCTGCACCCTTCCCCGAGGAGCACAAAGCCTGTCATGGATGCAAGAGAATCCTCTCATTCTGTGGTCCTTTAGGGTCTTGCACCAGCCTCTCTATGTCATAGAATTCCCTCTCACTTTTTACCCCCTCACACTCACTCTGCTGCCTCATCCCAGACTCATGCTCCTTCCCGTCTTCTCTGGCCTGACCCATTCCATCCCCACTCTGCTGGCCCCCTCAATCTGGCCTCCAGATGGGAGCCTGGGCGTCCTCACAGAGCCCTGGCCTGTGGGGATGGAGCCCCAAAGCATCCCTCCCCTCCCACAGTCAGGAACATGGGCTGTGGAGGAAGCAGATGCTGGCTGGGCACCAAGTATGTGCCAGACATGTTCCCAGACACCCGCTCTCTGCTCCATATTTCCCTAACCTCGAGAGCACCAGCTTTGTGGAATGTTATTAGGGGCTCCTTAATAAAAGAGTTCCCGGGCCACGAACCTCTGGGAAACCCTGCTTAATCATATCCTTAGTCATTGGCTTCCTTGGGTCTTGGGGATGGCCAGACAGCATCCCAGATTCATCTGATGGAAGAACTTCCCACCATGGGTTCTCTAGAACCGACTTTGGGAATGCCACAACCCAGCTCCTCATCAGCCCCACCCGGCACACAGTAGGTCTGCAGGGAACCAGTGCCACAGGGTCCTTCCTTGTCTTCCCTGTCTCCCTATCCAGTCAGGACCAGGACAACTGTGGGGACCAACCCAAGTAGTTCCCAAGTGGAGATGGGAGGAGCTGGGGAAGGCTGTATACTTTCCAGGCAGCCTGGACTGGCTGCTACCTCCATCTCCCCTTTGTGCCTTTCAATTTTTTATTTTTGGAGATAAGGTTTCCCTGTGCTGTCCCAGCTGGCCTGGAACTATGTAGACCAGGCTGACCTCAAACCTACACAGGTCCACCTGCTTCTGCCTCCTGAGGGCTGGGATTAAAGGCGTGTGCCACCAGGCCTAGCTCCTCAGTTCCTCTTTTTCCCACTGAGCAGGATGGATTTTTATCCTTCATCTGTTTATGTGACAAACATTTATGGAGTCATTAGCCTCCACCCCCAGGGTCCCTTCAACATCCTTGGAACCCCCTCCCTCCAATGGGCATGGGCTTCCTTCACCAAACCCCAGGTGATCACCACTGTGCCTGGCCTGCCTCTGAGTGTGGCATCTGCCAGAGTGGCATGGCCCTTACCTGTCTTGGGTCCCGTGGGAGCCCACCTTCTCATTCTTCATACAGAAGTCAGGTGAACTCTGCAGATAGACCAGTTCTGAGTCCTTCACAGGCCGGATATCCAGGTCTTTGGGAACCAAGTGTTTGCGGGTGCCCATGGGTCGGTGCACCACCTTGGTGGCTGACAAGTAGCGGGTCTTGAGGTCGGCAGCCACATCCCAGAGCTCCTGTAGCCCCTTCCAGCAGGTGCGGATGGAGCAGGAGCCAGACACTCCATGGCACTTACACTTCGTTTCCAGGGAGGCACGCAGAGCCTGCGGACAGCCAGGTTGTCGGGTGGGGTGACCAGAGCCTCCTCCCTGGCCTGCCGGGGCCCTGGTCCCCCACCTCATGGCTGGGTGCTCCCAGGGACTCATGCCCACTGGAGCCTCAAGAGATAAAGCATTTGATTCTAGCGCTAGGAACGGTTGGGGGTCATGCTTCTAACCCAGGGTAAGAAGAGCAGGCAGGAAGAAAATGGTATTTACAGAGGTAACAGATGCCACTTCTCAGGCACCCACTGTATACAAGTGCTCTAACACAGAACATGGGTAAACTGCCACCATGGCTCATCCAGGAGAACCACTCTTTCTCCTGTCCTAAAAAGAGGAAAGAAAAGCTCAGAGAAACTCAATCAGACACCTAACTTTGCACAGTTAGAAAACTGTGGGGCTGGGATTTGAACCCATGGCTCTAAAAGCTGTGGCTTTTCATTGCTTCATGCCTTTTCTCTCCCACAAAACTAGGGCTCGCTAAAGACTTTCCAGAAAAACAGGAAGGAATGAAGAGCAAGAATGAAAGTAGCTGGGGAGGAGTGGGGGTGAATACGGAGACAAGAGGCAGGGTGAGGGCTTGGGGGTACCTCCTCCCTGACCCACCCGCAGGCTGGTCTGTCCTTCCATTGACAGTGCTGCTGCCAGGTGACCCTCAACAAACTGTCATTACACAGGGCCTCTGAGATACAGAGCTGACACATTGCTGCTTGGCAGAGATGTGAGCTCTAAAACTTGGAATCAATATTGGCTCCAAAAAATGCAGCTCGTGCATTGTGGTGGAGTGGGGCAACATGGGCCTCAGTTTCCTGTTTGTGTCTCAGAAGTAAGGGCCTTTCTATTAGGCTTTTCAAACCCCTCTTTTTTCTATAGGAAGCTTGCCTCTCCCTTGTCTTGCAGGGCCCACACCCTGCATCACCAAGATGGGGAAACTTATGGGCATGGTCTTGTCCCAAATGCCTTAGTCAGTGAGTTGGCAGAGAGGTGTCAGGGGTCCTCCTTATCATTGGGACAGGAAAGGGGACTGAGAGGGCCTACCAGATAGAAAGTCTGGAACTCGTTGACCACCTAGGAGGTAGAAGAAAGAAATACATAGGGCTACAAGGCACCAGGCAAAGTGCTGCAGTTTTCTTCAGGTGAGGTAGGGGAAGGGCCCAGCACTTACGGGTCAGCACTAAGCTGCCTAGTCCTGATGTCATCCTGTCCTCACACAGCCCCAGACTACTGGGGAATAACCCTTCCCTTTTGCAGGTAACCCTGAGGCCAAGGCCGAACACCCTTTTACACTGCTCTGCGGTGTGGGAAGGATTGTGCCTAGGCAGGAAGAGGCTAGAATGTCCATAGGGTGGCAGCAGGGATGGGTGACCTTGATGGGGAAGACCGTAGGGTTGGGAGCAGGAGCCCTGAGTCCCTGGCCAGGCTCTGATATAGACCCACAGGGTGATCTGACCTCAGTTTTTCAGATTGTCCAAGGATGGCCTGGACATGCTATAGTCCTAACACTAAGGAAACTAGCAACAGATTGAAGACCATGGGTTCCACAGACTTGGCTTCTTCAGGCCATGTGTCCTTGGCTGAGCCATTGAGGGTTAACTTGTGCTGTGTTTACATCAGACACTTGCCCTGCCTGGGGCCTTTTCCCTATCAGTGGAAAAGGGACAATAGGACCTGAAGGGAATTGTTCTTGGATCCCAGGAGAGAAAATCAAGTACTAAGCACAGCATGCATAGGGTGGATTGTTGTGAAATTTGTTTTCATTTTTAAAAATGAAGAAGGGGTCAGCAAGATGGCTCAGTGGATAAAAGTGCTTACTGCTGAGCCTGACGGCCTGAGTTCAATCCCCAGAACCCACATAGTAGGAGAGAACCAACCCCTTCAAGTTGGCAACCCACATAAATGTAAAAATTAAAATTAAAAAATAAGTTCATTCACTTAGGCACTCATTCAGCCTTCGGTAAGTGAGGAATGAGAGAAACACTGGCTGTAGCACGGGCTGGGGGAAGCCACGCTCTCAAGGCAGGGTAGAACTTCTTTCAGTGTAAGGCCTATGGCCCAGCCCCCTCCCTGTCCTGGAGGAAGCCTGAGGAACTTGAAGGTGGGGGCTGCACCCCCCAGTGACCACTTTACAGATGAGACCAGAGAGGAAGGAAGTTGCCACTTAGGAAGTTTAGAGCCAGAGCCAAGGGCAGAAGAGCTCTGGGCTCCTAGCTCAGTGTTCCTCTGCCTGGAGCATCCAAATCCTGGAGGACCCCTGGAGGAGGAGGGGCAGGTGAGCCCAAGCACTGGAGAGGGAAGAGCAGCAGGGTCCCAAGCCTTCCCCCCTCCCATTCCCTCATGGGACCCACCATGGCCCTTCTCCAGCCAGTGGCCCAGGCACACCCTCTGGGGCAGGTGGGGGGTGGTTACCTGTCTCCCCACTTCACTGTTGTGTAGACGCATCAGTTTATTGGCTTGGGATCCTGTTTTTTTCACCTTCATAGGAGCATCGGAAAACTTGGCCCCCATGAGGAGCCCGTAGCTGAGGTTGTCCGCACATCCTCCCCAGCGGTTCCCAGGCCCGGGTGGCTCACCTGGGACAGGGCCGCAGGAGCAGCCGGGCAGGTCGCCAGAGGTGCAGGCCCGGGCGATGGCGTGGCTGATGGCAGCGGCCGACAGCGCATACACGAAGGCTGATTCCCGGGTACCTGTGGGAAATGTGCAGGTCAGCAGACTGGCAATCTGGGAGTAGGACAGACTTAGGAATGAGGCTCTTCTGCTCCACCCACCCTCTGAGCAACACACAGGGACCCTCCAGGGGTGGTGCAAGGGCCATCAGCCTGCCACTTCCAGCACCCAGGCATACCCTCCTACCCTCTCCTCCACCCCTCACGAAGTATCAGGGGCTGCTTTAACAGAAGCAAAGGCCTCAGATTCTTGAGCTCCTGCAAGAACTCAAGAGCATGACCTGATTTAGAAGTTTGGTCTTTGCAGATAGAATCTTGCTGCTGAGATTAGGTCATTTAGGTAACATGGGCCCAGAGCCAGTGGCCAGTGTCTTTAGAGGAGGAGGGAATTGGGGAAACACAGACACAGGTGGAGACACGTGACACCAAGGCAAGGGCTGTGTGACACGCAGCTGCATGTTGGGTATCCCCAGCTTGCCCACAGCTACCAGCTTTCCCTGAGACCCGAGGAGCCAGCACAGCCCTGATGAAGCCTCCTTCACAGATCTGCAACTTCCGGAGCAGTGACACAGTTCTTTTTTCTCCATTCCTTTCTTCTCTATTTTGTTTGAGACAAGGTCTCACTGGCAGCCCAGGCCGGCTTGGAACAATCTTCCTGCCTCAGCCTCTCAAGTGCTGGGATTGCAGTTCTGCCTGCCACTCCTAACTCGAGATAATACATTTCTGTTGTTTGAAGCCAGTCAACCCAGCATGTGGGACACTGTGACAGCAGCCCCAGGAAATGAGCACAAAGCTCCAGCTCAGTTCCAGGCTGTCCTGGCCCTACATCTCAATCCTGGCCCTACTAGCTGCAGCCTCTGTTCTGCAGTCTCCCTTTCCTTATCTGCAGAGCCCACTTGGCCAGGCTTGCCTGGTGTCCAGACACCTCAGCAAGGAGGGTGGGCCACCACTCTTGAGAACTGTTACTATGCAGGGGAGACACAAGACCCAGCAGGGTGCGTGTGCCCTGCCTTAGCCTCTGTAGTACCCAGGTCTCCCTCCTCCAGGAAGTCTGCTTCATAGCTGGTCTGCTGTCCCTAACTACTGTGCATCAAAGCCAATCCTGCCAGCTGGGTTTGCCAGGGCCCACCTGCCTGCCCAGGAGTCTCGGTCTATAATCTCCTCCCTGCTGTGGCTTTCAGTATAGCAAACAGCCAGCTTGGGGCACTCTACAGCGATAGCCTTCCTTCATCTGTGCATTGGAGCACATGTATGTTCTGTATAGTGTCAGTCAGGCCAATATATTTGCTGATACAGTCATTCACTAATGTTTGTTCATTCTCTAATTCGTGCCTGAAATCCATATCTGTGAATGACTCATCCACCCAAGCATCCATCTAGCCATGGCTTATCCATCTGTGTGACCATCCATCTTTTCACTCATCCATCCACCCATGAATCCATGCACCTATCCAAACACACAGAGCTTCCACCTGGATCCTCCTCCCCACCACATGCGTGTAGTGTTCCTACCTCTCTCCAAGTCAAGCAGGTAGTTGGGGGCGAGCTCGATGGAAGAGCAGTTCCAGCGCATGTCAGCGAAGGCCCTGCGGCAGGCCTTCATGGCCTCCCGAGCAGCGTGCACGATGGTACGCATGAGCTCCAGGTTGCTGCGGCAGAGCTGCACCTGCGCAGACACCAAGCCCTCTAGCTGTTTGCAGTGCTGCGTCTGGTTGAGCGCCAGGGCTGCCGGCGTCTTGGATAGAGCCCTGCATAACCCAAAACCACCAATAGAAGAAGGAAAGGGTGTGAGGGGCAAAAGGCCTCCACCCGCTCTGCAGGTCCCAGGCCTCCCCTGAATAGACTGCATCATTCTTATAAAGATCCCGGAAACTGGGAGGCAAAGTATCACCTGGCAGAGCAAATAGTTCCCCTGGCCATCCCTGTGCGACCTTGGGCATGCCACTGACTCTCTCTGGACCTTAGGTCCTCATTCTAACAGGATCTTAATTCTCATTGTACCTGAGTTGTATAACTTAACAGTGAACAGTTCTGCAATTCACAAAGCCAGCAACTGCCTGATTCAGCTCTCACAGCGGTGAATTCTTTATGGACCATTCATCAGCACTGGACCAGCTATGCACCGGAACCCATGCTAACTGCTAGAGCCTCATGCTTATTACACATGCCATTAATTGAGCCCTTACTCTATTGCTCCTGTATTTAATTCTACACCCATTTATCACATTGTAAAGTCCATGTCTATGCAAGGGATTGACACTGGAGGATGAAAGAGCACTCGATTTTATGATGATACAGAATTTGGAAATTTTAATATCTAATCCACACCTTATATAAATCCCTGGGCCTTTCTGGGCCTCAGGGTCTGTACTTGTAAACAGTATTTCCCAAGATGGGTTCCAGTGGGATTGGGACTTTCCTACTACCATGCCTTTGTCCAAATTTGTACTGATGCCAGAAAAGTCTTTTCCTTCTTATACCTAACCAAGTAAATGAACTTGACCTACTCACTGAGGAAATACTGAATTAGCACTAGGACTTCCCAGACTCCTTTGGCAGTGAAGGTGGCATAGATCCTTTCCTCCAGCAGCCCCTCGTCTAACAGCTGGGCAAATCTATCAGTGGTTAGAAGGTAAGACCCCAGCTGTTTCAGTTCCTAGGCTGGTCCAGGGAAGGGTACAGGCTTAGGGCACTGGCTGTATGGCTTCAAGTTCTCTGACCTCATGGTCCTCATCTACCCAATGTTCATTTCTATTTCAAAAGATTATGGAGGCTAAAGTAAGATAATGTATTCACACCAGGTGTGGTGGCACATGCCTGTGAGCCCAGATTTGGGGGAGGCAGCTCATTGCCAAGTGAAACTTGGGTCCAAGGGAATGAGGACACCTGTGTCTCCACTATGTGCTATGAAGACTTGGATGAATTGCTGTTCCATTATGAACATCAATTACAAAACTCTAGTGAGGGCCAAATGAGATAATATGATAATACAAATGACACTTCCTTCTGCCCCTTTCTACCATGCCCCACCTACCATATAATGACCAAATACAGAAGCCTAATATAGACCCAAGGAGCAGACCTCTGAGGGCAGTAGGCCTGGTCTGGTGTTTGTGGTTAGGGCACCATAACCTGCCTGAGATCAAAGGTGGATGTCCTAAATGGTATCCTCTTCTGTGGTCCTAATCTATCCCAGCCTCCAAACTACAGAGCAGGGACATACCAGATGTGTCTGGCAGGCCACAGAGCCCCTCAGATGGCTTCCTGGCCTAAGCAGAACAATTTGGCCTCGTGGCTTCACCTGCAGAGCCTGCCTGAGTACGCTCAGATCAGAGGGAAATGCCCCCTGTATGGGTCATCCCCTCCTCTGCAGCATCTCTCCCACAGCCCAGAAGCCCAGGTTGCCCAGCATGCTCAGCATGCCCAGCAAGTCCTGCCTGCCTCCCTGTAGACTGTCAGTGCCTGGGTGGGTGTGATGCATCTTTCCGTCCTTCTAGGTGGTCACTTGCTCTCTTTCTCTGCTCTGTCCAGGGCTGTCTTCCTTCCCTTCCCCCGGGCTGTTTTCTGTGGTTAAAGTGGATGGCTTACATGGACCAGAGGCACACAGCCGACTCAAGCAGCCTGGCTGTCTTCTTGATTTTACCCTGAACACCTGCTCACCAAGAAATAGAGTACCAGCCAGGAAGTGGGGTACTGATGGAGTACCTTCCTGCAAGCAGTACAGTCAAAGCAGCTAGTGCTCCCCGTGCCTGAGTCTCATTGGGGGTGCATGGGGAACTCTGCTTCTTTCACTGAAATCCTTGGATATCTGTTTCCCCTACCCCAGGCCAAAGGGAAGCCAGGAGAGCACCTTCCATAGGGGCTGCCTCAGAGGCTGTCAGGGGACTGGTACTAGATCCTCCCCAGGTACTTGGAGGTGGGCAGGCAGAGAGCAGTCAGGACTTTGTTGGACAGAGGGACTCAGGTGCCCATCAGATGGAACAGTGGTCCCACTGCCCCACCCCCAAGCACTGTAAGTGCAGCACAGGCATCCTCTGATTAGTGGTAATGACTGGACTAACTGAACCCCCTTGAGGAGGCAATCAGGATTAAGGCAGAGGCGGGGGAGCCACCGTGGACAGCTCACAGGCTTGCCTGCTCCAGCACACCCCTAATTGGAAACATTTCAGTTTATCTAGAGGTGGGCGTGGGGGAGAGGGTGCAGGAGAGGACAGGAGGGGACAGAGAGTTCAGAAGGGAGGCTATGCCAAGGGCTGGGAGGGGCTTCTCTCATTCAGGAGTTGGGGTTCTCCTGGTTCAAGCTCTGGCTGGGCCATTCCTCAACCACATTTGCTGGGCAAATCACTGCCATTGCCTAGGCTCAGTTTCTCAGCATTCAATGCCGACAGCTATGTGGGTGAGGACATTTTTCAGTAATACAGCTGGGAAATGGCCTTCTACTCATCTCCAAGTCACAGTCCTCCATCCCTTTTCCACTTCACCAGCCTAACTCCATGCCTGTTGCAGGGCCATGGCTTCTCCCACCTGGCATTATGGGGCCTCCTCTTTGCCCAGTCTATATGAGGGGGGTCTTTCTAGGGTTGTCAGAAGACCTGTGTACCAGTAACTCTGTAGTACCTGGCTCAGGCAAGGCCACCTTCCAGAAAGGGCCTTCCTCTTGACCCTGCCCTTCACAGCATCACTCTTCTACAGGCAGGCAGCAGGCTATGTGATGAGTTCCAGGCCAAAGACCTGGCAGCCAGGCCTTAAGTGCCCAGGGCAAAGGACTCTTGCTATCATTCTGCAGTTCAATGCTCACAATGCTGAGTGAAACCAATCCATTTGTTCAGGTGCATCTCAGGCAGAGCTGGATTCCCAAGGTCTCAGAAGCACACCTAGGGTTGGCCTGACAGTCCTTGCTTCCCTGTGGGGAGGTGTGGGAGGCCAACAGACTGGTGGTAGATTGAACCAAATGTCAACAACTACACTTGCAAGATAAGGAGCCCCTGAGCATGGCTGTGGCCTACCTCAAGGCTCTCAAAGTTTGCCGAGGAACACCCTGCTAATACAGGGTGTGGGAGAGCAGTGGAGTTCTAAGTTCTATTTCCTAAACCTATTTGCCCAGCTGTCTAACACCAGGCTTTGGGATGTCCTGGGCCACACTTCAGCCTGGTACCCATGAGGGAGGAAGGATGGAGCCTGGCTCTAAGCCGACCAAGTAAGCTTAGCCCTTCTCTGGGCTCCCATTTGCCCTCAGGGATGGTCTTGGAGAGCCTTTCCCTCCATGGCAAGAAGGTCTAGGAGTCCATTAAGGCTGAAGCTATTAGGCCCAGAAGGAGAAGCCCAGTGGCATAGGGACCCCTACTCCTTCCCAAGATCTTGTCTTAGGACCTCAGAGCCACGATGATGTACAAAACCAGCTCCTTTCCTGCATTGTACAGGGAATAAAGGACCTGGGATTTGCAGATCCAGATCCTGCCAGGTCTTTGACCTGGAACTCATCATGTGCACTGTCTAGACCTCAAAGGCCCTGGGCCTGGCCCCATATTCTCAGGCACATCCTCAAGGTGCGTTCTAATTGCCTTGTCTAGACACCTGCTAGCCAAAAAGCTGAAGGGACTTTCCATGTACAGTCAATCCCATGTGTAACTGGGAGAGAGCCATGGAAAAAAAGTAGGACTTGCTTAGATCTGTACATAGCCAACCGGAAGCAGGGCCAATGAGAAGCCAGACCTCCTGGACCCTGGGTCAGGGCTCCTTCCAGCCTACTGCAGAGCTGAGAAGCTGATGTGCAGCTTGGAAGTCTTGCCCAAGGCTTGCCTGGTAGCTCAGTGAACACTCAGGCTAGATTTGGATTCCTAGTCTGACACTCCTTCTGCCCCACTTTGCAGCAGCTATACTACGACTAGAGTCTCTTAAGGCTCTTCTGGAGAGGCCTTGCCTTTGCTGAGTGGCAGACTTGGTGCTGCCTGCTGTTCAAAGAGGGGACAGACTCTGTGAGTCCCCTAATCATCCAGGGATCTTTCCTCTTACAGGAGTAGGGACCACCCTCTGGCTTCCTCCACCTGAGGGGACAGGCAGCTGACCCACACCTGCTCCTGCCTTGTACTTGCCCATCCCTTGGTTCTCAAGGCTCTGCAGGAATTTTTGGGCAGTCAGGTTCCAACCCCACTCCCCAGTCCCCCATCCCACCTGTTCAGGCTGTCTGTCCCAGGCACTCACCAGGTGGGCACCCCAGGTCACTAAGCCACATCTGGTTTCAGTTCTTGTGTCAAATATCCCTTTCATCTCCAGGTCACTTTCCATGGTCCTCAGGACTACCCCCAAGATGACAGCTGGTCCTGATGAGTCCCCACCCCCATTCTGGACTTCCTTTTACCAACAGCCAAACTCAAACCCCTCCTCTACTCCCTATTGACTGTGACACTGTTGGTTAAAGAACTTCCGAGCTTTTCCTCTTTTGTGTAGAACTTACAGCACAGGTTGGAAGACAAAAATGAAACCATATACATGCCTAGGACAGCACCTAGCTACACACAGCGCTCTATCTATATATATATATAAGTGTGTGTGTGTGTATGTGTGTGTCTATGAACCATCTCCACTCCTTTTTTTAGCATGGGGGTTTGAACCCAGGGCCTTGCTCATGTTAGGTTATATCCCCAGTCCTTACCATATTCTTTTTAAAATTTTAAAATTAGTTTTATTTTGTGTACGAGTGTATTGCCTGCATGTATTAAGTGCACCATGTGCAGGCAATGTCAGCAGAGGCCAGAAGACAGTGTTAGAGTCTCCTGGAACTGGAGTTAGGAGTTACAGATGGTTGTTAGCCGCTGTGTCCTGGGAATTGAACCCTGGAACTCTGCAAGAGCAACCAGTGTGCTTAACTGCTGAGCCATCTCTCCAGCCCCTCTTTTTTAAATTGTGAGACAGAATATTACTAAGTTGTCCAGGCTGGCATTGAACTCACTCTGTGAGTTCATACAGCCCTTTTGATCCTCCCGCCTCAGCCTTCTGAGTTGCTGGGATTACTGGCCTGTGCCTCCAGGCCCAGCTCGAATTATTCTTAAACTCCAATTCTCCTCCCACTTCCGCCTCTATCTTCAGCTCAGCTCTAACGCTAGTTCAACTCTTATCAGGGTTTAGCCTCCTGAGGTCTGCCCTTCTGATCCCACAGCCACCATGAACCACCAGCCTGTGACCTTGTAGGAGTTACTTAACCTCTCTGTACCTGAAGTTCCTTATTGTGAACCAACTGTGATAACATTACCGAGGGTGTTGACAAATCAGATAGAGATCTCACAGCTCCCAGAGTCGAGACAGGACACTGCCTGCAGGCACTGTGATCCCTCCTCCCTGCAGGAGAGGACAGGAGATGGCCATGCTTTCACACTCCTAACCCTGCAGACACCTGCTTTGCATTCCATCTCTATCCATCAAATCTCTGTCCTTCCAGGCCCAACCACAATCACCTCCCTGGAGTAGAACTGACCTCTCCTGCTTAGGGCCCCGTCTTGTCCCATGAGTCTGGAAGATGTCTTGAAGGCAGACACTGAGCTGTGCCCACTTCTGTCATGACTTGGGCTGTGGAGTGGAGCTAAGCTGGGTGTGGCCCTCAGCCAGTCACTTACCCCACCCAATATATACCAGATTGGGGCTGAGTGAGGCACATGCACCTCAAAGCCTCAGTATTTCCTTTGCAGGACAGGTAAAGAGGGGCGAGAAAAGTGTCCCCAGGACTGTCTATGAGCAGAACAAGTCACCCAAGACTGTTTCTCAGCTGTGAAGAACCTTGTGCTTCTCAGCAAACCCTTCTCTGTACCTCATTTCTTTGTTTGGAAAAAAAAAAAAAAGGCAGTGGGTGAGGGGGGCTTCTCTCCCTCACTTGTGTCCTGCCCGATGCAAGAGTGAGCATGGGTGCCTACCAGCAGCAGGAGGAGGTAGGAGGAGCTGAGCCTAGGGCAGACCACCATGCCTGGTGCTTCTGTGTAAACTAGAAGCTCAAGAAGATGGGGTCTCCTTGGTTGTTTAATCAATAACTCAGGCCCAGAGGGGCAGGACCAGTGACCTCGAGGCTGTTTGCTAGAGGCCCAGTGTGCTATCACCTTGTCTTCTAGCTAACCCATGGATCCTCCTTAGCATCCCCAGCTTTATCTGCAGACTCCCCACCCCTGCCCCAAGGGCAGATTTGTGTCCTGTTCTAGACTCCCCGACCCTGGCTCTGTCCTTTCCACACCACCCAACTGCCAAATTTCCCACTTCTGAAGCTGCAAGTGGCAAGCCCTGGAAAATCTTCCCAGTAACCCATATGGGTGATCCACCAAGCTGGCCTTCCTCAGAGCCCCCACACCAGGGCACTGGGCTCTCCTGGAGCACTTGGACACTTGCAAAGTTATTTACAGCCTAGGCTTATCTCTCCCAGCCCAGGGGCAGCTCCTCCAGGAACTGGCTGCTCTTCTGCTCCTCTCCTCCCGGGCACTGCCTGCAGCAACTGCCACCACAGGAGCCGGCACTGCAAGGGAGAAACTAGAAGAAAACTGCCCTCCAGCCACCATTTAACCCTCCCGTGTGTGTGCGTGTGTGTGTGTGTGTGTGTGTGTGTGTGTGTGTGTGTGTGTAGCGTCTCTTGTGTGTGTGTGTGTGTGTGTGTGTGTGTGTGTGTGTGTGTGTGTACAGCCTCTGGCACCTCAGGACCTCTCTGGGGGAGCTTCCTGTCTGTTCCCAGTGAGCCACTGTTACTCTTCTGACAGATCGAGGAGGGCACTGAGGTTCCCAGAGATAGTGGTAGTGTGACACTTTCCCAAGGTCGCCCAGGTAGAGGATCAGCAGTCTTTGCAGACCTTCAGCTAGAGTCAAGGAGGCTGACAAGCCAGGAGCTGCCGGTGTCCAGAGCATAGCAGACCCTCTTGGTTGCCCCCTTTCAGAGGATGTCGTTTCCCAGCGGGCTTCCAGAGGGTCATAGCCCCTCTGCGACCTTTGCGCAGGTCTGGTCTGGGCGAGAAAATCCTCTGGTCCGCCTTGAAAGCCCACGGGCTTGCCTAAGGACGCCCAAATCTAACTTGGCCTCCCGGGTCTCCGGCGCTAGCTCAACCTCTCCGCCGCCCTCCGCCGCCCCAGCCGCTCTCGCGGGGCCGGTGGGAATGGAAGCGGGGTCCCTACTTACAGCCACTTGATGCCATAGCACACGCCAGTGTGGAGAGCCAGGGCGAAGAGCAGCGCCTCGCAGACCTGCGGCCGCGCCTTCATGGTCGAGCGCCCCGCGCGCCTGGGGGTCGCACCCTGCAGAGCCGCGCCGGAGACCGCCGCCCGCAGGCCACCGTCGCGGGTCCTGCGCGCACGCCGCCTGCAGTTGAGGAGAGTCGGGCGACGGGTTAAGGCGGCGCTCTGGCGGGGAGGCGTTTTATTCAAATTACAAAGGAGGGGTCGGGCCCAGGGGCTGATGGAGGCGGGCGTGCGCTCCCTTCCCGCACAGCCCGAGACCCACCGGCGTCAGGCTCGGATTAGGTGAGAGACCAGGAGCACCGCCGAGGGCGTGTCGCCCAGGGTGGATCGCCGCTGGACCGCCCAGGAAGGACAGGGTGCAGCAGAAAGGAGACGCCGGGGGAGACCCAGCCAGAGACAGCAAGCCGGCAGAGGACCAGACTGCTGGCTACCGCGGAAACCCCGACAGACAGGCAGACCTACAGACGAGGTCCGGGAAGGAGAGGAACCAGGGTCCCGGGCAGAGGCAACAGGTCCAGGCCCGGATCTGGGCTCTTATTCCAGCGATATTGATTATGGGGTATTGTACCTTTGGCGATTCTAGGGCTCACTTCTCTGCAAATGGGGCGACCTGGGCCCAGTTCTATAAAGAATGTTCTATCTAGTCCGGTCGCTTTTGTTCCTCCAAGGCCTGTGATGGGAACTGTCACAGCCTTCATCTCACAGACCAGAAAACGGAAGCCCAGAGACGGGATATGGACCGTTCAGTCAATGAACGTGGTCGATGCTGGGCGTTATAATAGTTGGTTGGTTGATTAGTTAGTGTTAGTTGGAGATGCTGGGCGTTTTGCTGTCATGTCATGTCACTTGTACCTGGTGAGTTCACGTCAGGGAGACAAGAGATGGTACCTCCTTTGGGCACCCACTTCTCAGTCCGGAAATGGGCGATGCAAAATGGTCTGGTGGTGCTCCTTACACAGTGAGAGCCCTATACTTCGAGTCCCACTTCAGTGCCTTAGTTTGTATCAGGCAGGGCCGCGTGCCGCAGCCAAGCAGGGATGCTCCGGACGCTCCAGGTCGTTTCACGCCGCCAGGCGGCGAGCTAGGGCCGCGGAGGAGCCGCTACCCGCCTGCTCGCAGCCGGTAGAGCTGCTTTCCGAGGCTTTCCCCTCGCTTCATTCTCACCTCAACTCCCTTCCCAGCTTCTCCCAAATTTACCAACACCTGGCGTTCGCAAAATCATACAGTTCCAACCCATCTCCCCGCCAGGGGCGCAAAGACAAAGGGATTCTTTCCTAAAGTGTTCGCAGTGTTTGAAAAAGGAGGCACCAGATTTAGTGGGGGGCGCTGGAGCCGGAAGCGTGTTCTCTTCTGGCTTTGTGAGCTTGGGCAAACCCTCAAACACCTCAACCTCAGTTTTCCTTTCTATAAAAACAAAGAGCCGGACTTCATGCTTATCCTGAGGTCCTTCCAATAGTTGTTTGCGCTCCCTCTGCCTGTATCCATTACTATGTATACCTGTGTAGTCCTGTGTAGTGTGTGCATGTGTGTGTGCCTCAAATGCGGAAGCGCCCTACTCCCCCCACCACACACCCAGAGGAAAGCAGGTAGAAAACTTTTAAGTATTTTTTTTTCCTCTCGGCAGAGTCTCCCAGCTAAGCGCCCAGCCCCGAGGTGCTTGACACAAACATGAATCCAGGCCACCGTCTCAGCAGGGTTTTTGGTGCAGCTGGACCCCCCCCCCCGCCCCCCGTATCCAGATCCTTTTTCACACTAGCCATGTTTACACACTGCCCAGAACCAGAAAAATGTCTGCTGGACCGTAGGGGTGGGGTGGGGTAGCTCAAAACTCTAGTCACTGTCTCCTTGTTGCCCCCACCCCCACCCCTTACCCCAAGCATGGGATCCCCCAAGGCGCCCAGAATCCCTGAGTGGGTGGGTAGGGGCAAGGGTTGCACGCAAGAGCCTCAAGGACTTACAGCGGGGGGAATGTGTTCTGCTCAACTCTCCGAGGGAAAGGAGGGGAGGTCCAGGTCAGACAGCGGAAAGGGGACCCAGGCCTCCAGCTACTCCCTCCAGCTACTATTTCCAGCGGTCCCAGCGGTCCTAGAATCCCCACCCCCATCCCCCGCCACCGCCACCACAACTAGCTGCTGGGGGAGCAGCTCTGGGCTTGGGCCTTTGAGTCCTTACAGATTATTCGTGTCCCACGTAAGAACGTCCAGGACAGCCACGCGCGCCGCTGGGTCACCCTCAGCCTGAGCCGGGAGGGTCAGAGCGCATTCACTGCCGGGAGTCCCCAACCCGCCAGGGGGCGCTAAGCCTGGGTTCCAAGAGGGATCTGCCCCAGCCTCACACAGTGGGACTTTGGGTAAGTCCCCTCCTATTCCTGGGCCCCAGTGTCCCGGTCTTGGATGAAGTGCAGAGTGATTGCCCCCAGCGCCCAAGTTATTCCATAAGGCTTGTTTTGGTTAGCCCTGAATTAACTGCGCAACCCCTTGCTTCCCTGGGTGCTCTACCTCTGACAGGGACAGACGCGTAGTGGGCCCACGACAAACAGCGGTGCCTATGGAGAGAGAGCGGGAGGGAGAGCAAATCCCTTCCTCCTCTCGTCCGGGAATAAGTCCAAGCCATCCAGCCTGCAGCTGACCGCAGAACCGGCTGCCCACCGCCCTGAACGTGCCGGACACCACAAGCGCTGCAGTAGCTCAGCCTGGCGCCGCCAGCAGGTGGTCGCAAGGCTTGGGCTGTAGAAGTTTCCAGAAACTTCGCTTTTTTAGCTTCTGCCGAGCCTAGCTCTAGATGTGCGGAGCCTCCCCGTACCCGACGCGCGGGGGCTGGTTCCGGAGCTGGTGCTGAGCACCAGCACTGTGCACGCGGCAGCATAAACGTCCCAGCCAGCCGCTCCAGAGTTCTCAAAGCCGAAAGGGGTCATGCGACAGGGACGCGGAGCGATAGCTTCAAGGTTACCTGCGAGGCGGTGTGAGACCCGAAAACCTAGCTTTGACCTCAGCTTTCGGATGTTCTAGATTGAGGACGCTGCGCCAAGTCACCGCGGAGACCCAGTTTTTGGGAAGTGAGGAAGGAGGGTGGGGAACGCCTGTTACCCCCACGGAGCCCGGTCTTCATGCCCAAAGACCAGTGAGGGACGTGGAGGCACCTCAACGCCGCGGCGGGGAGGAGTGGGGCTGCTTGAGCTCACCCAGATATTGGAGCGGCTCTAGATGTACCGGGGGCGGGGGGACAGGACTACCCCCACCCTCAGCCTAGAGTTCAGGTCGGTAAACACACTAGCTCCCTGCCCCAACGCGGTTGTCTTTGGGAACGTTCTCACCACCCGGGGTCCCCCACATCCCGCCGCTCTGCTAGGAGCTTCGGGGTTCTCTGCCGTGTGCCACCTTCTCCCGCCTCGCCACACACACCCTCTACCGCAGGTTCCAAGTCCCCCATCCCCAGGATGGCTCGGGCATGACCTCATTAGCCCGCCGAGAGGTAGGGTGTCGAATCCGGGGGTGGGGGACAAGACCGGGGAGTTCGGGGAGAGCCTAAGGGACCGTGCGGTCCACCCCATCCTGCAGCCCCCTCCAACCGTGGTCCCCGGGTCCCCGCCGCTGCGCTCCGCAAAGAGTTACCCCAGGTGCGGTGCGGAGAAGAGAGATACGGAGATTTGGGGTTGCGTCCCCGGGGGTGGGTGCCCAAGGTGGGGGTGTCCCTCGGGGTCGGTTGCCCCCTGCTTTAGCGGGTCCCCACGGAATGTCTGCCCGCGGCCACTGCTCACCTTCCCAGAGCTATCCGGACGCACCTTGGTATCCCGCGGCCCCGGACCGCGTCGGCTGCGGCTAGTGCAGTCCCCACCAGGCCCGGGAGGAGAGGGCGCCCTCTCGGTGAAGCGGCTGGAGCCGGAGGAGAAGGATCCTGGCAACTGGGGCGCAGACTCCGGCTGCTTTCGGCTGCGCTCGGATCCCCGGCCTGTGCTCGCCGCTCTCTAGAGCTCTCCCCTCGCCTTGCGTGATCTGCGGCGCCCGCCGGCCCCACCGCTTTATAAGGCGCGCACCGTGGCTTTGATCCGCCCACGTCAGCGCGCCGAAACCCCACCGGGTGGCTCGCGAGGCGCGAGGGGGGCGGGACAGGACCCCGTGACGCCTCGGATTCCCGGCCCCCGCCCGGCTCTAGGACACTCAGCACTGTGTTGCGGTACCAAAAGGCTCGCAGCTGCTGTGTTCTTGCGTGCCTGCTGTGAGCCATTGGCTCGCCGGGCACAGGTAAAGGCCAGTCTCGAATTCTCACAGCAACTTGTAAGGAGCCTCAACCAGCCAGAGGGAAGTCTTGATTTGGGTCTCACTGTACAGCACCCAGTCACTAGGCGCTTGCGGCAGACATCGATGATCCTGAGCCCTGAGCTCCGGTCGGGTGCTAATCCTGGCCCCTCCTGGGACCATCTTTCAAGGCCTCTGGTTCCCCAGAGGGGAGCTTGCTAGGGCTCTGCTCTGCGAGGTGCACTGTAAACTCAACCCCACCCCGCGGTCTGTGGGGGGTGGGTCCCAGCAGAAGATTAGGCTTCAGAAACTAAAGAGGACTAGAGTGAACTTACAATGAGGCGCATTTCAGTCTGGGGTTGGGGCCACTTTCCTCCTTATTTGACCTCCCTTGACTAGATCTGAGGCCAACTCCATTGTCCCCAGTTTCTAACTGCCCATCAGGTGCTGTAGTTCCATAGGCTTCTGTCTCCCTCATCCTAAGGCACTCCACCATCAGCACAGCTCTCAAGGATCATCCAGCTTCTAAGCAGAAAGGGAAATGGAGGTGAGGAGTTGCTTAGGGTGTCTGCTCTTTTCCCATTCTTTGCAGTTACCAATCAAGTGGTACTCACAGTGCACCACATCTGACTACAGGCACCCCTACATAATACACATACACACACACACACACACACACACACACACACACACACACACACACGGGAGGAGGGGAGTACAATGCTCCCAGCAGTCTCCCACTCATCACAGTCTGAGACAGCAAAACACCACACACACACACACACACACACACACACACACACACACACACACGGGAGGAGGGGAGTACAATGCTCCCAGCAGCCTCCCAGTCATACCAGTCTGGGACAGCCAAACCCCTTGCACACAGGACTGGGTCAGATCATCACAGTTACAAACACACTATGGAGACAGTCTTGGACACATCACATGCCTCCACACACTCTGTAGCACATAGCCGCAGAATGACTGCATTCATGTCATTAGGATGATGCTTAACACGCAGACTACCCCCAAAATAGTTCATGCACAAACACACGAGTTTCCATGCACACAGTAAGAATACATATACAGGTCCTAAGCATGCAGTATCAAACACACACATATACTCTTGCGTACAAACAGGAGTAGCCTGTGAACACAACAGTGGGACAGCCTCATCTCCCACCCATGGCACTGAGTTGGTCTCATAAAACTAGCAGGAAGGAAGTAGTGGCTTCCGGTGGGGTGTTCAGGAAGTGCGGGAAGAGCAAGATTGCTCCTCTCAGAAGGCTGAGGCCAAAGGCTTCCAGGGACTCAAGCATCCTTAGCTCCCCTGATATCAGAGACACCATGGTTAGAGCCATCCCAGGTGGCCCCTGCCTGATCTGAGAAGCAAGTTGGCAGGCTCCAAACCTTCTTCACATAAGCAGCGTTCTGCCTGATAGCTTCTGACATCCAGCTGAAACAGAAATGAGAGCAACTGGGAAGCACAATATAGGCCTTGGGTTCTAGGCAGGCTTGGTAACTCATAACTGTAACCCCCAGTACTTAGGATGCTGAGGCAAGTGGATTACTGAGGGTTTTGAGGCTAGTCTGGGTTACATAGTGAGTTCCAAGGATTATAGAATGAGTCCCTGACTCAAAAAAGTAAATAACAACTACAAAAATAGATTTTGGATTCTAGTAGAATTTTCCTGATTTTCAGCTGTGTGATCTTGTGCACGTTGCTTGAATTCCCTTGTACTTAGCTTTCACACTCCTAAAAATGGGAATAATACAACCTTACAAAATCTTCTGCATTCTTCATGATCAAGATTAGCATCTCAGTCTTGCAAAGCTGAGGCTCAAAAGGTAGTTGCTGGCAGGCATTGAGGTAAATACCCTAACCCCTCTCCCCAGCTCAGGGTCAGGATAGATGCATGCAGTGAGCAGGTGGAAGGAGTGATTTCACACGGTCTCATGGGCCTGAAGGAGGCCAAGAGCCCATTCTAGAACTCCTGCAGCCCAGCCGTGGCCTCCCTTGGCTGCTCATCTTTATCAAGAACTGGGCACAGCTCAGGCTGGACACACTCTGTTCTGGGTGGCAGTTCTAAGGAAGAGATACCAAAAGCATCCAAGCTTTTTCTAGAGTCAGGGGGTATCCAGGCCCAGGCTGCCTTCCCTGCACCCCAGTCTCCCATTTGTATGCTAAGGAGTCCTTTAGCAGGGATTCCCACAGATGCTTGGATTGAAAGGTTATCTTTCATCTTTAGAACCCACTGACCTTTCCCCCTTTCCCTTTCATCTTCCTTTCTTCTGTCTAGCTCTCCCAAAGGGAGACTGTGTGGCAGGCTTGTGCTGGACACCTGGGCCTCAGGCTCTTCTTCAGAGGAAACCAGGCTCCTAGCAGGTCAGATAGAATAGGGCACCATACTCTTGCTGCTGGGAGCATGTATATTTCCTTTCTCCTTCATCACCAGGGTGATGCTGTTTATCTGCTCATTCAGTCATGCAGAGCACTTCCTACTGGCCACATGTTCAGCCTCTGCCTGAGTGCCAGGAGTGCAACACCTTTCCAGCCCCACCTTATTCACGCCCTACCCAGGGAGGCACCCAGGATGAAAAGGCATGGATGGTCTGAGGGCAGCCACAGTTCTGTCTGCCACACTGACCTCCACTGACACCCTCTTCTCACATCTGCTTCCCTCCCTGGAAGCTTTAAAGCATTCATGGAGATGGTGGGGGTTAGCTGACTTTTCCCGGGGCCCTCAGGTAGGGACCAGGAGAGCTGGCTATAGTGCAGAGCTCAGCACTGGTTTCCTCTGTGATAGACACTGTTTGTTCTCAACAAGCCCCAGTCACTCATCTATAGGTGACGGTTGAGCTAGATAGCTTCCAAGGGCCCTTTCAGCTCTAGAATCCAAGTCATAACTCTGGCCTGTGGCACAAGAAGAGCCAGGGATGGGAGGGAGGGAGGAAGGGAGGGAAGGAGGGAGGGAGGGAGGGAGGGAGGGAGAGAGAGAGAGAGAGAAGGAAGGGCTCTCCTGTACCCCGGGGATTCCTAATCTTGGTCCTAGGCAGAAACACAGATTTCCTCCTCATTGCCATTTTCCAGAGGGACACAGAGGTAGGGTTTCCGGCCCAGTATGCTTTAAGAAAGGCCTGTCTAGGGGACAGAGGAACAGAAGTCTGAGCAGAGGGGCCCAGGCTGACTGTCTCCTAACATGGGCTTAGCATGCCATGCCTCCAGAGGCCAGCTTTTCCAGGCAAGGGGGGAGGGGACCAAAGAGGAAGTGTGTCACCAGGGCACCTGGGCCTGGTGCTCACATTCATTTCCTCTGCTTACCCACTATGGGACTCTGAGGAAGTCACTTAGCCAACATGATCTTTGCCTTTGTCATTTGTACAATGGGAAAACCAGCAACCAGCTCCCTCTCCAGGCTACTGGGAGATAACAGAATAGAAAAGGGCACATATGTGCACACACAGACACACAACACACATGTTCTAAGTGTCAAACCTGTCCTGTGCCCGTCATGGAGGCAGGTGCTGCTCTGCCCATGAGCCCACCAAGCCCCAGGCCTACAGGCAGGTTGTGCAAGAGTGAGCTCTGCAAACCTGGATCTGCCCACCGCCCGCCCAGGAGGGACCTGTCCTCCTCAGAGCCTCAGGGGAGGTATTATTATTCTACAGCACCCAGGGATCTGCCAGGGACTGGGTGGAGAGAAGTTGCTTTCCTGGGTGTGCATAACAAAACACCACCCGTCATGTCTGCTGAGGCGGTTACTTCTGAAAGGCTCCTTTCAGCTGCCCATGTTTAATGGCAGTGGTTTAGGGTTTGTGTTTCTCAGGACTCTATCAGCTCCAGGAGAGAGACTGGACCCCAAATGGCATACTTAGGAGGGACTCTGGCTCAGGCCACTGCAGGAGACTTGAGCAGCCGGTGACCTGGAGGGAGAACTGTGCTGTCACACTCTGCTCACTGAGCCTACCAGGCCTCAGCCTTGGCCTTGCCCTTGGTCCTTCCTCTGGGAATTGGCTGCAACAGCCCCAAGTAGAAACTCCAGTCAGAGACCTTTTCTCTCCTGTTTTTCTCTATCAGTCCCAGGGAAGGAGCTGGTTGGCTGCTTGGGTCATGTGGCTCTGAGTGGCAGTGGGTATTGCCCTGGGTACGGCAAGGACCAGGGGCAGCTCCTGTTACCAGAAGAGGAGAACCAGGAAGCAGGGATCCCTTGAGCATGTGTCTGGGTATGGCTGCTTCTACAATCAGGCCTTTACTTCCCTGGTTTGAATGAAAGCCAGTCTCCACCTGGGGTATTAGGGGAGATGTCCAGTTCCATCCATCCCCTTGCACAAGCCAGAAACCAATGGCTCCCACTGCCCTGATGCACAAAGATAGCAACCAAGGCTGAGAGAGAAGGCAGCCATCTGTCACATACCCCTCAGTGAGTGGCACAGGAGACAGGGAAGTCAGATCTCCTGACACTCAGCCCAGAAGTCAAGTAGTTGCTTGTCAGTCTTTTCACAGAAAGCCAATGAGGCAGTTCTTTAAAAAGCAACTCCAAATCTTCCCATTCTAACACACAAAGGTCTTTGGAGGGTGATTCCATGTGGCAGTTTGGACTTAATATATGCCCATGTGTTGGGGACTTAGTTGTCAGCTGTTTTTAGGAAGCAATTGGACCCTGTAGGCTTTGACCTGATCTATGGATTCATCTCTTGATGGATTCATAGTGTGGTGACATCGTCAGGAGGTGGGGCCTCATTGGTGAACATGAGACACTGGGGTCATGCCCTTGAAAGA